AAAACACATGTTTGCCAGATTGACTTCTCAAACTAACCATGTCTTCTGCCCTCAAGTCGTCCAGCTATAAAATTTAATGCATGAGCTCCAAAGCTATGCCACAGATTAGTTATAAACCTGCTTCTACCAAACTTCATTCCATTATCGAACGCCTGAGTGAACGCACGAAGTTACAATGGGGCAAAGTTATAAAGCCCAAGTAAAGCGTGTTAAGTGACGGTTGGGAGGTGGTTTGGTCAGAATTGATTATATGCCCCTCTCCCTCCCTCGCCCCCCCGACAGATCATGCGAATAGAAACGCGATCTTGCGCTCAATTCCAGGAAGTATACATATTCTCTTTTATTAACCCCACGCCTAGGTCAGACCGTAAACGTACCCCTAAACTTAACCCTGGCGCCACCTTTATCCCTAGACATATTTAACTTGTACTTTAACGCAAAATCTCCATATTATGGGTAATATGGGTTTTTCCCCGTACTATCTAGTGGCCTCCGTCACAGTCCTTTCGAAGGGAAGAGCAGTGTCGACTCTTTTGTCACGAATACACTTCAGCCTTAGTTCAACTTCTTGTTTGTTTTCGGAAAAAAAATGCGTCATCATCCAGTGCAGGCTTGAGATCCTGCAGAGATTTTCTGTATAATATAGTTGACCCAATTGTAAAAAATTCGCGGCCTCGGAGGAAGTCGAACCCGCACAGTGCAGGGAAGGCTTTTGCGCAGCCAACGTTCTAAGATTTAACTACGAGACTCACCATGCGCCGTGAATTTACTTGCATTTGGATCGATTTTACTCGCCCAACTTACTACTCGTATGGAATCCACCATTACGGAACAGCAAACTGACTGCTCAGGCAGGTTTCCTTGAGCGATCATCTAGAATCCACCAGAATGACTACTAGGCTCACTAAATTGTTAGGGGGGGGTTGACAAGTTTGCTAAATTCAGTCGACCCAGTTGTGAAAAATTCGCAGTCTCGCTGGGAGTCGAACCCGCACAGCACGGAAGGCTTTTGTGCAGCCAGCGCTCTAACAATTTTCTGTATGAGTTCTACTAGCCGCAAGCTTCTCCTTAAGTCTTGTTTTCACAAGTCCCTTCGTCTGACTACGCCCATCAAATGTTTTGGAACATAATACTACCAAGAACAAAAGCAGAGCATTGAGATCAGCTACGGCAACCTCCCTATTATTTCCCGCTCAGGCTGTCTACACTTCGAACTCGCGAACTCGCCACAGCCACAATCCGCATGGGAGGCAATCAATAATTACACGGTCTGGCGAACTATCCCTTTTGATTACAAATGCCTGTACTAACACAGGCTAGTAAAAACAGGCTTTGCACTAGACTAAGCCCTGTCAATCATA